CGGGAGCGGGCGGGGGGGCAAGAGCGGATGTAAAGTGGCCTGGGGGCAGCGAGACCGAGAAAGGCGGATGCGGAGGATGCAGATGCTGCGTCAGCGTCACTTGGTCCCGAGGGCACGGGGTTTTACGTAGGGGGGTGAGGGGCTCAGGCTTGCGCTTTAGAAAGCTCCCCCCTCCCCCGCGCCCCCGACCCTGATTCCCCCTTGAGGGCAAACGAGTTGCTGGTACCGGACAAAGTCAGCAAGTGGCTCCACCCGGTGGAGGGAGTAGGATCAGGAGTGTTTGTGGAACCGGGGACGTGAAGCAGGAGGCCGAATCCCCCGGGACCTGCCATCTCTGTGTTTAGTGCCGGGGGAGGGGCTCGGGCAGAGCCAGAAGTCAAGGTTAGTTCCACAGCTTCTGGCTTGAACTTAACAAATGAGAACAGTTCTTCTCTGAGATGGATTAACCATCCTTCCTGAAGAGGGGGGCTAGAGCCCCCCCACCCCAGAGTAAGATGCCTCTCTGCTGATGGGCTGCTTTTGTGAAGTCAGATAATAAATTATTAAACACCTCCGCTCCACAAGCTTCTTGCTTTCCTGGGGGTGGGGGGCGAGGACAGCTCTCTGATCTCAGGAGGCGCTGAGTCGGGCCACCTGCTTTGAGTGCCCCGCCAGCGTGCGTGCACTTTCCGTGCGACAGAAACATGCATCTGTCAGTGTTCTGTGGTCCATTCTGGACAAGGCACGGAGGCAGGGAGACCGGGGGGCCTCTCCCTGCTGCATGTGAAGGCCTTTTGGTGGAGCCCGGTGGGGGGGACCTCTAATCTGGACGCCCTGGGAAGAGCCCCCAGGGCAGGGTGGTGGCCGTCATCACTGCCTCCCAGGTGCTGCGTCTGCAGGGGACCGGGCTGGACGTTTCGTGTGTTAACCTGCAGGACCAGGTGGACACGCTGACCTTCCAGAGCCAGTCTCTGCGGGACCGAGCCAGACGCTTCGAGGAAGCTTTGAGGAAAAACACTGAGGAGCAGCTGGAGGTATCATGCGCTTCTCGTCTCCCAGCACCCGCAGGGCCCTTGGCAAGGCAGTTCTGTTGGACCCCAGGAAGCCCAGGGCTCCCCCAGCAGTCACCCCGAAGGCAGGGCCCCTGTGCTGATCTGACACCAGAGCGACAGTGGTCAGGGCCTCCCGGGATTTTAAGCATGTGCCTGTCAGCACCTGTGCTGAGTCGGGATGGCCCTGGGTTCTCCATCTAAGTGTTATCCTTGCCTCATTGCACACGGCTCCCCAGCCCCTGTCCCTGGGCTGCTGTGACGAGCTGGGTCTGGAAACACCCCACCCTGGCCAGGCCCCATCCCAGACCCACGTCCCGTTCCCTCCCAGTGCCGCCTGCAGGGGAGGCATCCCTGAAGCCCCAGTTGATAGGGTGGGGTTTTTCCTCAGGCTGGCACAATTCCTTCCCTCTGATGTAAGGTGCCAGATAAAATACACGAGGCAAAATACACAACACCCAGTTACATCTGAATTACAGATAAATGAGTTTCTTAGTAACAAGTATGTCTCATGCAATACTTATGTGAAATTCCAACATAATTGAATATCCTTTTTATTTGTCACATCTGGCAACCTTATTCTCACATTTCCTTTTCTACAACAGCCTTTTCTGCTTCTTAAACCACTTTGCTCATTTCCTATGCATGGCAGGGGGCGGGGCCCTCCATGGGCACAGATGGGACCTTTCAATCCCCACCTGTCTGTTGAATCAAGTAGTCTGCGTGAACGTTAAAAGCCAATGTTGAATGTACTGTTTTCGCCCGCTAAATTCCCTTGGGGCGATAGGCTGGTAGTATCCGGCCACCCCAGGATCTGACGTTTCAGGGAATGACGGCTTCATCTCTCCTGCTCCCCAAGGAGCTGGATTTTTAGTAGCTCTCCCAGTGGAAACTCGTGGGCATCGTTATCAGGAAGGCTGTGAGCATTGTCTCCCTCTCGCCCTCTCGCTCTCATTCTCCAGTGCCTGTTAGGAAGCTTGTTAACGGATGACGAGATTTCGCTGAATTCATGGTGCTGGTGAATACTGGGCTTCGCCGGGATGCCTAGTAAATAGCTCCTTGCTCTCTGCCCCTGTAGGTTGCATTGGCTCCTTATCAGCACTTGGAAGAAGACATGAAGAGTCTGAAGCAGGTATTAGAGATGAAGAATCAGCAAATACACCAGCAGGAAAAGAAGATTATTGAGCTGGAAAAGCTGGTGAGTTGGCCTCTTACCTTGGGAGGCCCTAGTAACCTGCATGATATCCCTGCTGCCATGGTGGATGTCAGTATTAACAGCATCCATGGCCCCATCCAGGTGGGGGCCCTTACATGTCCGGTGCTCACAAGTGAGCAGAAAACGCCTTTTTTAGGAAGCCAGGAGTTCAGGAATCTCAGAGGGGGCCTCATTTGTAGAAACCCGGAGGCCGTCTGACGCCCCGCCTGGCTCCCCATCCACCACTGTGACGTGCCAGTTCCTCCCCACCCCGGGGAAGATGTGCGGTGAGCCTGCATCCGTGCAGCATCGCTGTTGTGCACCAGGCACGACGCAGACACTCTATGCGTGTTTGTTCTTTAACTCTGACAGCAATCCACTGAGTAGGTGCTGTCAGGAGCCTCCTTTTACAGATGCGGAGACGGAGGCTTAGGATGAGGTCATGTCTCACCCAGAGCCAAACAGTGGTCCAGCCCAGGCGGGAGCCCTGGGCCAGAGCTCCAAGCCCCGGCTTTCACCACACTCTCTGCCTCACCTTTCAGCCTGGCTCCCACAGAACTAGCAAAGGGCACCCCTTTGGGGGAATAGAGCAGCCAGAGTTCACTCCCCGCCCCTGTGGGCGCAAGGGCTGAAGCTGAGATAGTCATCCAGAGTCAGCAGCAGAGAAGCCTGCCTCCAAGGAGATGCCATTCTTGAGGGGAAGGTTGGCCCAAGGGTCGCAGGTAGATTAATTTTTTCTTTTTTATTGTTGTATTTAAAATAAAATTTTGATACTCTAAAAGGAAATATAATTTCCTCTAAAAGGAAATTATAAGATATAGATAAGAAAATTAAAATAACATATTTCTACACTGTTAATATTTCCAGAGGCTTCCTTCTGTACAAGTGTACACACCCTAATATACAACCCACACATACATACGAGTGTTTTGTATCCCGCTTTCTTTCAGTTAGCAAACCCTCAGCTTACCATCTCAGTAACTGATCACCTCCTCAGCTTTTCAAGTTCTCCGTATGTCTCGGAAATGTCCTTGAAGCCGCTATATCCAAATCAGGAGCTGGTCCCAGACCACCTGTTGCATTCAGTCGTCACGTCCCCTCTCCTGATCTAGCACCATCTCTCTCTGGGGACATCTCTCGCTGCACAGATGCCTGTCAGTCAGAATAAGGGCAGACGGGGGTGTGAGTGCCTATTGCCAGCATCAGAGGCAATGCTGGCCTCCTGGCACCCTCCAGCAGCCCAGAGCTTCCCAGCAAGGCCAGCGCTAAGGCCAGCAGGGGGCTCGCAAACAGAGCCCTCCCCTCTCAGCCCTGCAGCCCTCCTCCTCCAGTCAGGGCCACCTGCATCGTTATCTATCTGGTCAGCCACAAGCCTCTGGGCTTCTTTGGCTGCTTTTAGCCATGCTCCAGGCATTCTGCAGGTATGCAAGAGTTCTCATTCCAGAAATCTTTCCAGGCAGAGGGGTGGGTAGGGGTGGGGGGAAGAACTGATATAATCACTTCCCATTTCCTGGGAGCAAAGATGAGGATGGGGTGAAGGGCCTTGCTGAAGGGCAGGGGCAGAGCCCGGTCCTTTGGCTCTGATGCCTAAGCCTGATTCACGGAGAAGTGGCGGTTTCCTTTAAAGATGACTCTAGCTGTGAACTTGTCACATTCTTTTCAAAAAATAATTTATTTCTCAGTGCATCTTAGAATGGAGCTCTACTTTGGCTAGGTCTCAGGCCCTGGGGACACGCCGACAGAGAGAGCGGGGCATAAGTTGCAGAGGAGTAGCAACCACAGAGGACGTTATCTTCTGATCATGTGCCACGCTGGGCTTGAGCTGCATGCTCCTGGCTGCCCAGAGCCTCAGAAGGAAAAGAGTGTGTCCACGCTGTTTGTATTTCCAGCCCTCCATTAATTCAGAATGTCGTGGAACGCGCACAGGCCTGGCCAGAGATGCCGGTGCAGGGCAGACGGCCTGATGGGAAGAACCGGGGGACCCATCAGCCAAACGGGGTCCAGGTGGTGCTCACGGCTCATTTCTGACAGTGGCAGGGGTCTGGGGACACTCACTATGAGAAATATATTCTACACAGGAATCCAGTATAGGCAGGCACACACGTAAGTTGTATATATACAATACGTACAATCCACTATATATACTGTATCTAAAATATATACAACAATACTTTTACTACACACAGCGCACTCTGGTATTTTCTGTTCTGTTTTGTTTAAAAAAGAAATGCTGGTCACGTCCCTCTAACCTGATTTTACAACCGACTAATGCACTGCAAACTGCGGTTTGGAAAACACTGTTCTTGATAACGTTCCAAAGCCCGGAAGCCAAGGGCATTGGTCGGCCATCTGTCCATAGGGCCTTGCTGAGAAGCTCTTGACACTGCATCTTTTATAGGCAGAAAAGAACATTATCCTGGAAGAAAAGATCCAAGTTCTCCAACAGCAGAATGAAGATCTCAAAGCCAGGATTGACCAGAACACCGTCGTCACGAGGTAGGTGGGCCTGGGCGTCGGAGCTTCCAAAGCATGTGTCGCCGACAGGATGGCTTTGCTCTTGACCTTGGAGCGCTCTGCTTTTATCCTCACTCCTCCGAGCCCTGAGGCTTCCCCACACAGGCTCTTGGCACTCCCCGCGCGGAGGAAAGCATAGAATACACCGCTCTGAGCGCCCAGCCGATGCCCAGGCTCCGCAGAGCGGTGGGTCCCACCTTGGTGGAAATGAGTGACACCAGCCAAAGCCTGGGGCACAGCTGGGAGGTGACGGGGATATTTCTGGAGGAGGTTTTGGAGAGGCTGCCAGCTGGGGGTTCCTAGGCTAAAGAGAACCGCCGTGTGAGCCGACGCCGAGCTCCATCACTGGGGCCTGCGGCTGCTGCACCAGCGCTGAGCCAGGTGGTCATGGCAGAGGAGAGCTGGCCTGGCCGGAGGGCAGCAGGGAGGGGATACACCAATGCAGCTGCTCCCCAGGGACACTGCTTCCATCTTGGTGCTGCTTTCCCTGCTCGGAGGGCCCCAGGAAGGGAGATGGGGGGGCACACCCACTGCTGTCACGACAGAGGCACAGAATGCCTCGGTTCCTTTTTCACATAGCGTCCATTAGCCGCAAACATCAAATAAGCATCCATTACACACCAGGCGTCAGACTGGGTGCCAGGCACTCGAGGAGGACCGCTCTGGGGCCTGTACTCCAGGGCTCCCGGTCCAGCAAGCGGCCAGATGCACAGACCAGAGGTGATGGCTGCCAGGGAGGCCTGAGCCAGGGGCAGGGCGTCCCACACCAAGCCCCGCTTTCCTCTCTCTCTTCTGGCGGCTTCTGCTCTCTCCCCTGGCCCCCAGCGCCTCCCCTGACCCGGGCAGAGGGGCTGTGGGCAGATCGGGTGTTGGCGGAGGGTCTCTGGGAGCGGATGTGTGGGTGGGACGAGTAGCAATCACGTTTCGACCCCGCTTCTTGGTCCCTGGGGTCTGGCAGGACCCTGTTCTCCCCGCGGGCACCCACCACCTACCGCCTTTCCCTGCACCCCTCGGCCTTGCAGACCTCAGGTTAAGTGCCTTCCGGCGTGACTGCTGCTCGACAGTTGCTTGTTCTCCCCGTGCAGACAGCTGTCAGAGGAGAATGCTAACCTCCAGGAATACGTGGAGAAAGAAACGCAGGAGAAGAAAAGATTGAGCCGAACCAACGAAGAGCTGCTTTGGAAGCTGCAAACAGGGGACCCAACCAGCCCGATTAAACTGTCCCCCACGTCCCCCGTTTACCGAGGCTCCTCCTCCGGGCCCTCCTCTCCCGCCAGAGTCAGCATGACGCCCAGATGACGCCACCATGCTGCGGGTCGAGCTGCGGCGCCTGGTCCACGATGGTTTCCGCCTCAAGGGAGTGGTGACCGTGGACCAGCCCGACTGACCCTGCGCGCATGCCCAGTAGCTGCATAGCTGCATCCTAGGCAGAGTCCTTTTCTGATCCTCGTGTAAGACTGTCCTGGTACTGGCACTTAGGAAAGTGTAAATGGTAGTGTCTGATGTGCAAACGTTTGACCATAGTTAGAGCCAAAAGAAAGAAACGCCAACTGTTCTTGAGCAATGAGCAACTTTCACTGCAGAATATCAGGTCAGTTACAAATAGCTCAGTTTTGAATATCCATTGAATAATCATTGTGTACTGCACCGATATGTGTGTATATTTAGATATACGTATATACACGTGCAGCGGTTCTGAATTGCATTTTTTATAACATGAAGTGCTGACGTATTTTGGTGAAGGTCAGCAGTTTTCTAACTCGTGCCTAAGAATTATTGGGAAATGAGAACGCATTTCTATCTACCTTCCCAGGAATATTTCTACCCAAAATAGAAAAAGGAAAAAAAAAAAAAAAGATCGAGAAGCGCCTTCCGACCTCCCACCACGTGGTAACTCTCTGTTTAACACAAACACCAGCCACTCATGAACGGTAACTGCCTTTGGAACAATCAGCTTCTTAGTCCACATGATGTGAGGTCACTATTACTCCATCCGCGAGTTTTAATGATTAATACTTCTGTCATGAGCGGATAAGGGGCAGCAGTGGGAAACCCTGAGGGGGTGAGGAGTTTTGCAGATGTCACTCATGACAGTGGATCGTCTATAGTCTTGTAAACACAAGTTCTGCTTTTTTTTCCCTAAATGGCATCTTGGAATCCATCATTAAGCTCTTTCATCTTCGGGAAAATATGGAAGCACATGACCTTATAGGATGAGGGTGAGAGTGACCTTGGAGTTGGCCAAGACCATTCACGCTCCGTCCTCAAGAAGGAAGACTGCTAATAGGGTCTGTGTTCTGACTTAAGTGTAGAGTAGGAAAGCATAGTCTGGCATCCTATTTGCTTTACTCTGATGTGATGCTGAAAATGGTCAACTCACCAAAATATGACCCTCGGCCCCACTTCATTGGCACCCCCCTTCGGTTTGGTTCCGTAACCCAACCTCATTCCTGTACATTGAGAAGCTCAGGGGTTCCAGCAGGGGCTTCCAGAAAACCAATTCTTCTGTCCTGGGGCATCAGTTCCAAGCTATGCTAGATCATCACATGGCCTCCCAGAAACCCAGGTGTATTTTCTGCTGGATGATCAAGCACTGCCACAGCTGACAGAGGTCCCATCTTTGGCCCAGGAGGTTCTTCCAAACAGAGGAAGGAGCCCGGGAAACAGCCAGCCAGCGGTGGCTGGCTTCTGGACTGGCATTTGGCTCTGAGATGGTGGAATTAGAACCTGGGAGGTATTCCTGTAGTGCTGTGGACAATTAGAAGCAAGACACACAAAAGAAAGAAGCGGTGTCAGCAGTTGATAATGGTGATGATAATGATGCCTTTGTTTACTGTTTGTGACGAAGACCCTGCACTTTTCTCCCTAAGGCCCCTCAAAATGGTCCTGAGCACAGGACTGGCTCTGAGCATACCCGAAGCAGGCGGACTCATGTAGGGATGCTTCGTGGGCCAGAGCCACAGAGCAGGGAAGAAACGGCCCATGGAAGGGGTTGGCTGGCCCAGAGCCCTGCCTGCTCTGTGAATACGCGGCCGGCGTGAAGACCGGTCTGTGTTCCTTGCGTGAGTCAAGGTTGGGCTTCCTGGCCTCACGTACATCTCATTGCTAGCAAAGCTCCAGGTGTTTGCCCATCCTGGGGACATACACAGGAGTATCCACTGAAGAAACATTTTTTTCCTTTAGTGGCTCTGCATGATGCTGTGATGTTGAGTTGGGCCTCCCGTTAGAGTAGATCATGCCACGTTGACTAAATACACAAGTATTTATTCTTTTAGCAGAGGCACCGCCTGCAGACACAACAGCTCAGCCCTTGAATCAGGAGCTGCTTCCCTAACGGCACTTGCTAAATGCAGTTACACAGCAATACAGATACCAGTGTTATGTTAGAATGTGGTCCAGTGTGTTAGCCTATTGCAGTCAGAGTTGTAGTGGTGTTAGAACGAAGTAATCCCTCACCAGGTGACTAGAGCGTGGCTCTAACCAGCCCTGACCTTGGGTACTTGAGCTAATTCCCACTTTGCCCTGGGTTCATTTCCCTGTCATGGACGCCCATCATATGACGGCTCCTATCCCAGAACATGAGGGGTGGCGGCCACCGGGCCCCTTCTGCGCCTCTCCAGCCCCCACACCGTTAGGACTTGGACCTCTGTCTCCCTGGCATCCACCTTCCAGGCCAGAGCTGCTGCCACGCGGAGATGCCGCAGCCTCCCCCCCCCCCCCCACTCACAGACCCCCCAAACCCCACCAACCCCTTCCTGGCACGGGGGACCCCGTCGGCGCCCTGCCCTCCCGCCGCCCAGCACACACCCGGCGAGGTTCTGGCGGGGTGGGACACCTGGTGGCCATCTGAATGGGGTCACCTTCCAGGCCAGAGCTGCTGCCACGCGGAGATGCCGCAGCCTCCCCCCCCCCCCACCACTCACAGACCCGCCAAACCGCACCAACCTCTTCCTGGCACGTGGGACCCCGTCGGCGCCCTGCCCTCCCGCCGCCCAGCACACACCCGGCGAGGTTCTGGCGGGGTGGGACACCTGGTTGCCATCTGAATGGGGTCACTCGTTCCTCTTCCAGCCCCTGCGGGTTCTGTGCTGCCGATTTGTGTTTGAAGCATATTAAAATGAACCTGAGGGACCTTCTGTGACATGCACTTGATGTGACCGTTGGCCTGGCCCTCCCAGGCTGCAGGAGGTCCAGTGGGGTCAGGCAGGGAGGCCAGAAGGCTGGGCTCCCCTTGTGTGTGCGCCAACTGGCCATCACTGTGTCGTGAGACGCCCCCCAGCTCTCCCCCGACTCAGCGGATTCAGGATCCCTGCACCCGTCTTCCAGCCCGGATCCTTCAGCAGCCTTGCCCAGGCTTTGGGGGCTCAGCGGCTCTGCTCCGTCTCCGCCGTCCTGGGGAGGCCCGGGTTGGAAAAAGGAGGAGGTTGGAAAAAGGACACGAGATTGAGGCCAGTCCCCTCACCGTCAACGTCGAATTCAGACGTGGACCTATTGCTTCTACCCGAGTGAGCTCGGTCTGTCCTCAAGCCCGTCCCTTTGCACCTGGCTGGTCACAGAGCTCTCCTGTCAGAGCACCGGCAGGCTTGGGGGCCCGTGGAAACAGCACTGCTTTGTCATGCGCTTTCTCATGCCCTCGGGGTTCTAGGGGGCCAGGCCACTCCCTGAACCTAAACATGCTCACTTCCCCCACCACGGCCTTCAGCCTCCGGGCCTGCCCTGCCTGGGGTCGCAGGCTGGTTGCCTATGGGGTTTGGAGGGACCTCCGGAGACTCTAGCCACTCTGCCCTCCCGAACCACTGCCGGACCGGAGCCCCTTGGCAGGTGATAAAGCCCCTTGAGTTACTCCGGACCCTCCAGCACCACTCCTGGACCCCCTGGGTCACCCACGTGTCCAGGTTATTGGCGATGGCTGCTATTCATGATCTGCTTGTCAACCCGTCCCAACCTGTTCGTTTCTTCTGGCGTCTTGTGCCACCACCTTTATCATACCCACCCTGCATTGTCCTCCCCGTCAGCACAGCCGCTTAACAGAGGGGCGCTGGCGCCCGGCCCACGGAGGAAACCAGGGTGGAGGGGCTTCGCATCCGTGGAGAGCTGTGTCCCGCACGGCTGTCTTGCCGTGGCAGAGAGCCTTTTGAAGTCAGCGCTCGGTCCCCGCTGTGCCGAGGGAGGCCACGGCCGGCTCTCCCTGCCTGCGAGGCTGGAAGGAGTGGGGAGAGCAAAGCTCAGGTAGAAGCCGGGGGCCGGGCATCCCACCCGCTGCTGGAGGCTGTTCTAACTCCGTGGCTGCATCCGGGAACAGGCGCCCTCGCATTGCAGCCCTGCATCCCTTGTAGGCAAGAGGCAGGGTCCTGCCCGCTGGGGAGTTTGGGTCAAATGCTCTAAACAATCACCATTGCCGTCACAGGCTAGAGCTCATTCGCTTAAGTTTGCTAATTTTTTTTTTTTTTTTTTTTTTTTTTTTGGTAACTTTTCACAGGAAGTACCATTCTTTTATATGGGATCAGATGATCTTACAGTATATCCTTGTAGTCATGAGGCTTTTGCTTGTTGTGTGAGCCTGGGTAAGTCAATTCCCATTTCAGACTCTAAGTTTTCTCAGGTTTAAAATAGAACTATTTTAGCAGCTGTACCTTTTTTCTCTTAATTTTGTTATTTTTTTTTTTTTTTTTTTTTTTTTGAACCTGTCTGCTTTTCTCAAACCTCTTTAAAAAAAAAGCAGGACACCTCGGGTTTCTTGAACGCCCAGCTCTGTTCCTTCCCCCTCAGCATGGGGGACAGGCAGGCAGATTTGCCTCCCTCACCAAGTCTGGGCGAGTTTTCCAGAGACAGCACCACGCGGGATAAAGTGCTGTGCAGCCTAAGCTGGGCCCTCCCGTCCCTGTGGGATGTCCGGGTCCCTCCCCACAGACAACCCGGACAGGCTCAGATGCTGCTGTCTGTTTCAGCTGCACCCAAATCCACGTAGCAGGGGCTGCGTTAGCAGACGCTCAACAAGTAACCGCATGGCTTCAAGGAGTAAAGATGTAAAGCGTCCATGGGAAAGTCCGACCGCGCAGCTTCTCCCGGCTCCGCACCTCAGTCCTGAGTGCCCGCGGATCCGTGATGAGGAGGCCAGAGCTCACGTCATCAGCGGACGTACCACCTGCTTTATTCCCGAAGCCTCTCTCACATCGCATTTTTTCTGGCCGTATTTATGGCTTGGTGGACAGGCTTATACAGTAAAGTGAAACGATGCCCCTTGGAAGAGGGGCGGACAGGGCTACCCCGGAGAGGTGTCCCCGCCCTCCCGGCCGTCTGGTGGCTGAACAGCCCCCCCACCCCCCGCCAGGAGTCCGTGAGATTCCTCCCCGCTGCGGAGGCTGGGCTGTCCGTCTGACTCACCAAACGTGTTTCATCACCAACTTGTGCTCCAGGTAACGCCCCACCCCCAGGCCTCCGTGCCCCCTCCACACACCCCGTCAGGGTTTCCTAGGAAACTGCCCGGAAACCTGGCGGGGGCGCTTGCCGGCCGCTAGGTGGCAGTGTGGCGCCACAGGACTGGCCGCCCCGCGCCGAGGCGGGCTCCCGGGAAGACTTGCTTGGGGGCGCTCGGGGAAGCCGGCCCGTCTACAAGTCCGGGTCTGGGCTCACGGGCGCCTGAGGGCAGGAAGGGGCACCCTGCCTGCGTCCGTCCCCGCAGAGCCCTGGGGAAAAGGAGGGAAAGCGTCGACACGGTCCAGGCCTGGTGGGTGGTTCACCGCGCGGCCGACGGATGCCCCTCACGTCCCTGATGCTGAGCGTGCGGGGCCAGCAGCAGCCCCCTGCTCTGCTCTCAGGCAGCAGACCTCCCAGCGTGATCATGCCGAGCCTCAGGGC